ATAATAATAATAATAATAATAATTTTTTACACCTAAATAATTTAGGGGGGCTTTAAGTTTTTTAGGGGGGCTCCAGCCCCCCTAAAATAGGCCTAGTGACGCCACTGCTTCACACTCTGGAGGTGAGCATCATAAAGCTGCAGCTCGCTGATTCTCCTCACATTATGTCACGATGCAGATGAATTATTAATATCACATCCTTTTATTGCTCTGAGGAAGATGAGGAGGAGGAGGGAGCGGGGGGGGGGTGTTGAGTGGGTTGGTGATGAAGCTGCACCTGATGCCCCCCCCCCCCCTCTGTAATCAAACACAGATTTGATTCTTTCTGTTGCTGCATCGACGTGTTGGTTTTTTTCTGAACTTCCTCCTCCTCCTCCGTTCCTTTGTTTGCGCGGCGCGCATGCGCGCTGGCTGCAGGGTGTGGATGGAGAGATGCCACCTTGCCTATCAATAGGATGGAGAGGAGGAGGAGGGTTTCTTTTCTTCACCGAGCTTTTTTAAATCAATCCAGATAACGTGATAAATAAAGTAAAATATGCTGCTGTCGATGCGTTTCGATCAGAAAACCTTTTTTWATTTAATTTAGTTTCCTTCAGCCGTGTGTGAGCAGAGCCACGGTGTTTGTGTTTAGCTGCTTCATCCTCCTCTAAACTGCAGGGAGACGGCTCCATCTCCTCGTTTAGTGAAGGTTGAAGGTGTGCTGCAGAACACMGATGCACTGAATGAATGGATTTTGTGTTTTTGCTTCAAATCTTAAACAATCCTGCAGATTTTCAGCTGAGCTCCATYTTAAAGTCTGCAGATTTGCAGCATTTTTTAAATTCAAAGACTCTGAGGCATCAGCAGCAGCTACGCTCGAACTGCTGCAAATATAAAAACTGTAAAAACTCATGCATGTGTTGAGATTATACACTCTGAAKGAGCAGAAAAACTGTAACAAAATGTGATTTCTGCTTTTAGAAAGCATCTTCTTCTCTTCACTCTTTCACTAAAAACACATTTATGTTTTTAACCGATTCCTGTTTGAAGCTGGTTTAAGTTTCTGTCTTTAAATCTATAAAAACTGGAAACGTTTGACCGTCTTCAGGCGCCGCAGCAGACAGAATGACTCTGACGTTAGTTTTCTGAGTTTCAGACATTGGTTTCAGGCAGGGCTCTGCAACCTTTATGATAAAAGGAGCCATTTCTGCTCCTTGTCTCACTAATAAAACGTGTCCAGAGCCACAAAACAAGCTTCAACTGTGATTATAAACTGGTGGTCCGCGGGCCTTTTCAAGGCCTTTTTGGGAACTTTTCTGGTCAGTGGAGGAGACATTAGAAAACTAAAGGAATATTGTTATTATTATTATTATTTATTATTATACACATCAGGACAAATAAAAATACCATATTCATGTAAACGAGAAAAAAATACTGTATATAGTTTATATCGAATTTCATAAAAACTAACTGAACTATTTAGGCACATTTATTTTCTAATTCTTAATATTATGTAGACTTCAAATTCTTTAAAGTTAATTCTGATGGATTTGAGAGATCAGAGAATGAAAATTGAATATTTAAGTAAACAACAGGCTAGCATGAGCTAACATGTTTTACTTTTTTGTATTAGTAGTATTGATCACATACAGATTTATTTCTGTTGTGAGTATAAAAAAAAACAAATTATGTTTGGTTACATTTTCAAAGAGCCACTGCAGAGGGACCAAAGAGCCACATGTGGCCCCAGAGCCACAGGTTGCAGACCCCTGGTTTAAGGTGTTCTAGTTGGTCATTTATCCGGCTCCTGATTGGCTGCCAGGAATCCATCCCTGTTCGTTCAGCCTGATGATGAAGATGATGATGATTCATCACTTGCAGCTGCTGAAGGAGGACAGCAGACAGGTGGAGGTGTCATCTCACTCACTGACAGGAAGTGGTCCCCGGATCAGAACTCATGGAGGTCTTACAGAGTCTTTGCTCTGGTTTTGATCTGGCTTCCTCTCGATCCAGAAACGTAATGTTTCCTCAGATGGGATTTACCTGCTTAGAGCTTAAATGAAACCCAAGCTAAAAGCTAACTTCAGCTTTTAGACTTTACATCAGCGTGTTTCATGTTGCATCCTGTCTCTGACACAACCTGGGCTCGAACCTGCAGCCTCAGGATTATGAGACGGTGACGCTGTCCACTGATCCACTGTTAGCATCATAACAGAATTAGCATATTCGTAGCTACAAGCTCAAACTGTAGCTGAGGCTACAAGAGAGAAACAGATCGAGTTTACGCAGATTTCAGAACAAAAGGTTTTGAAGAGATCCTGATGTGTTTCTACGAGGAGTTACAGAAAAATAAATAAAATAAAAAGAAATYAAAGTCTAAAAGTCGCAGCAGATTATTCCTGATGTTTTAATGATTGTGTAAAAACTGCTGTAGACGGTCTGGACTCTGGTTCTGGTCCCTGGTTCTCTCTCAGCAGCGAGTCCTAAACTCAGACTTTATTTTTTGTTTTTAGAGGCGATAAAATCGAATCTATTTTTGCTGTTTTCATCAGTTTTTTTCTTTCTTTCACTCGTTTTTATTTTCACAGCTGCTCATTTCTCTGGAACCGTATAAGAAGGAAACAGTCGTCAGTTTTCTAAGTTTAACTCCAGAGCAGCTCTGACCTGATAAGACCTTCATCCTGTTTTTGGCCTCAGTTTGACGTTTCTGTGATCGTCTCTGCAGCCTGACAGGAACGAGGAAGTTGTTCAGTTTCCTGTTGAAGGTGTCTGACTGGAAATGACTGGAAACTGGGGGAAAAAATCTTTGTTTTAGTTCAGTTTAAGCTGCAGTGGAGTCAGATGTTTGTCTCTGGTGACCTCTGACCTCTCTGTGTTTGTAAACCGGCTTCCAGTTTGCATCAGTTTCAAAATAAAAGCGTTAAACTGCAGGTCTCATCGTTGCCGGCGGCCTGCAGTAACCGTGCAGCAGAGCGAGCTCGTATCCTGGAGGTTTGACGGCGATGCAACACGTCCTCGTCCTCGGCAGCTCCTCCACAGCGAGCGCCATCTGTCACATCGCCTCATCTTCCAGGAAATTACTGCTCAGACTGAAAGCCTCAACATTATCTGATACGTACCCCGGCGGGGCCCGAATGAACTCGGCAATCTCAGCTTTGCTCCGTGCCGAATCCCAAATCCACTCAGCCGTCCTGGTGGACGTTTAATCAGCGGGCCGGGGCAGATAAAGGGACGATCCGCCCGTCTGTCCGTCCTCTGATTTCATGCAAACAGCAGAGACGTGATAACACTCTGACATTTATACAGTTTTATTAACCACCGTCTCATTTTTACATCAGCCAGGATGTTAGCAGCTTTTATTGACAAAGAATCTGATGAGATGAAACCAAAAACTATTTCAGGATTTGTTCCAAACTGATTGAAGAACTAAGAAGTTTTTTTATTGTTCTTTCCTGCAAACACTTCCTTTAAATATGACATCATTGATTAGAGAGCAGTTGACTGGAGTCAGAGTCAGGTTTTAGCTGTTCTTCAARCATCTTCCTGACAACGAGGCAAAAWCAGAGGARTGAATAGTGAARGCTTATTGCTAAAACTTTAGCTGAAAGCTGCTGAAATGGAGCTGAAAATGTTTTAAAACAAAACATTTACAGCAAGTTCAATTTGAAACATTTAAGAAGCACAAAAAAGGAGAAACTAACAGAAAAATAGAAGAAAGGAGCAGAATTATAGCTGTTAAAGCAGAAAAAAGCTAAAATTAGCATAAAAACAAGCTAAAGGTAGCAGGCACAAGTTAAAATTAGCACCCAGATGGTGAAAGGGGTTTAATTACTGAATATAGCAGAAAGCAACTCAGAAGTAGAAATAGCTCAAATTAGCAGAAAGAAGCACAAAAAGTATAAATTAGCAGAAAAATAGCAGAAAGAAGTAAAATTATAGCTGAAAATTTTTTACAATTAAAACAACTAAAATGTGCAGTAAAACAGTTAAAATGTAGCTGGAAATTATACGGAGCACAAGTTTGCTGAACTCAG